GCAAAAAGCTGCTCCAGAATAACCACCCGATGACTGGGGGTTATCCCTGCTATGCACACCCTCATTACTAGGAAGGTCCTCCACCTTCACGTACATTTCCAATAATTTTATTACAATAAATTCCCTGTATTCGTCCGGAATCCGCAAAAAATCTCTAAGAGTTTCATCATCCTCGATGTTAAACTCAGAATAATAAGCAAACCTCTGCGGAGTCACTGAATAAGGAAATCTACCGGTTACTTTAAGGCTAACCGAGCGCCTCCGCTCACTCATTTTTTTACGTAACAACGATACCAATGTATCGTACTCCATATTAAGCGGCAATTTAACATGACATTGTGGAGGTGAGCTATACCTCACAGAGTTATTCTCCACCACAACCTCACCCCCCAATACAGTGAAACCCTTATTTTTGGCACTTCAGACATTGTAAAAAATTGATTGATAAGGAGAAGAGAGAATAATGAACGTATGTTTGAAGTTTAAGTGTTGAATGAATTTTTATAAAATTGAAACGTCTATAAATAAGGCAAGTCCGAGCTTGGGGTGTACAATTTTTCAAAGTAATTCGCAGTATTATACTGCGTTTTACTTATTTGAATTATTGTTATGTCAATTAATTATTGGTGGGGCCTAAATTCAGTCTAATTCGTAGTATTATACTGCGAAATAGCCAAAACTGCGAAATGCTATTTGAAAAATGAGCTGGGCCCATCTCAAGCAATTCGCAGTATTATACTGCGAATTGCATAAAAAAAATTATTTTTTTAATATTTCGGAGTATTATACTGCGAATTGCTTTAACGGCAAAAATTCCGTTAACCCTATTTGCAGTATAAAACTACGAAGTACTCATTAATGTAACTTTTTTTTAAAACATTAAAAAAGTACTTTTTGTACAAAAAATCATTAATTAAGTTTCGGACTCAAAAGTTTTGTCTCTGTGTAAGTATTTTTCTTTATTCTGACTTTCACTTATCCTATTTTTGATTGAGAACATTTGGCCATTAATTAAACAAAGTGTTTGATTCTGGTCTTTGAAGTTAAGGAATATTGTTAGCTTTAAATTTTCTATTCGTGCTCGAAATATGAATTGACTAAACTTAAAAAAATAAGAAGTGAAAAAAGAATACTTGAGGCAGTGAGTATCGATGTAGGAGTTTTGGTCTAAAAAAGAATATTGTAAGGATAAAATAGTAAAAATCTTGGTCAAACCTAAAATGCTTATAAGCTAAAAATTCATAAGCTGGGGGTGACCAGCTTATGGCTTTTGGCTTATTTTTGACTTATAAGAACTTGGCTTATAAGCACTTTTAACTTTACCAAACGCGTAAATAAACTGAAAAGTGCTTATAAGCTAGTTTAACCAGCTTATAAGCTTAGCCAAACACCTTCTTAGCCTTCTTCTAGTGTTAGCTTTCCTTCTAATTATTTATCACTTAATGGAATCAAAAGTGGGAAACCCATGATCAGTGATATGCATTTAGCAACAATTAACACCTTTAAAAGGCAGCTCGGTGTAATAAACTCCTGCTATGCGTCAGGGTCCGGAGAAAGGCCGGACCACAAGGGTCTATTATACGCAACCTTACCATGCATTTCTACCAGAGGCTGTTTTCACGGCTTGAAACTGTTACATCCTGGTCACATGACAGCAACTTTACCAATTACGCCAAGGCTTCCATTCAACAATTAACACCTTGGAATCTCCGAAACTGAAGACAGTTTTTAACTAGGCAAATCTGGGGTACACATCCGATAAAAATTTATCCGCACTTAATATTTACACCAAGAATATATAAAACATGGTTGCCAGTGAAGTTGCTTATAATGTTGGAAGTATTTTTTCAAAAAATATTTTTTGTTTGATGGTGAGTAAAAAATGCTTTTTTTGAAAATTGGGGAAATAATATTAGCAAATCGAGAAGCTTTTTATGAAAATTTTATTTGGAACACTAAATATTACTAATAACTATATCTAAATATTAATTGAAGCATAAACCATAATATGAACTTTAAAGTTTAGATAGTTGTAAGGACAAATTGCTTGAAAGAGATTATGTTCCCCCATTTGATGGTAAATATTAAGTTGAAAAACACTCTTTATCAACCAACCATCAGAATTTTCCTATATATGAATCTTTTGTTTTTCCGGTAAAAATAAAATGAATCTCCTCATTAAATTATCCCTAAAATCTTGGCACGACAAATATTGTATATTTGCGAAATTTTATAAATTATAACTTTAGTACACACACGAGCGTCTCATTTTTTTTTCAATACATGCGCAGATAGATTTAAATTATATCCACTGCATATAAGAATCAAACTTGATTTCGATGCATCTGAGATCATATCTTGGATCATCATTACCAGAACATTTGGCATTTCATTTTGTTTCTCAGAAACAGTCACTACCTATTAAAGAAACACGTAACTTTTCGATGAAATAATTAAAGCGGGTGACATCTAGCTGTGATATATATAATTGCATGGTGATGGAGACTGTGATGACACATATAGATAGTGAATGTGTGTCCATTCAATTAAATAAAACCCTAATTTAAAGGGGGGGGGGGGGGGGGGGTAAATCAACTCAATGTTTTATGAACAGACAAAAAGAAATGTACAAAAACAGCATTGTTGATGGGTCAATATCAGATTTTTAACATCCTATTAGGGCCATGGAGGAAGCATCCTTTGTCTTTCCACAGCTCTATGAGCTGTGGAAACTAATAGTTTTAGCTTGAGCTCTGCATTTGTGTTTAAAAATTCTATTAAATAAGTATAAATTATATATTTTGAACCCAATATATCAAATGCATGCGTTGTGTTAGAATCCGAACTCAAAATCACAAACATATCCGTTTTCAACACTTAGAGCCCGTTTGGAAAGCCACATTGGAATTGGGTTTGGGTGTAACAGTTTGGCATGTTTGTTTGGCGAAGTAATTACTTGGTCAGCATGGAATTGGGGATAATTGGAGGGGTATAATTACACTCTCCAATTCTCAAGGAGGAGGTGAGAATTGGTGGTAATTACACTGTGTAATTACAAGGTTGCTTTTTAGTTTCTTTCCTTTTTGTTTTTATTTTAATTTATTTTCTTTATAACTTTTTATTTTTATTATTTTAATTTTTTAATTTTATTTTTACTTTTTAATTTCTTTTGAAATTTTAAAATATATTTTCTTTGTACACTATTTATCTTTTATTTCTCTATCTTTACTTCTTGTGATTCCATGTAATTGCTTATATTTTATTTTTTATTTATTTTATTATTCTATTTTTTGAAACTACACCTCCTAATATTAAAATAATGAGTCATTAATAAAATTGGCATATAATGAGTGATGCAATTAAAGTGGAACTTCGTTGTTAAATGTGGTTATAAACTTATCATGTTTCGTATCTTAAGTTGCAGTGGGACTTACTATTATTATGTTGGAATTTGACATAAGTTAAACTATTTTATTTTTTTGAAATTGTGTTATATTTATGGTTCCAATTTACTTGTTTTGTAGTATTGACTCACATTGAATTTTGTTCATTTTTAATTAGAATTGGTAGATTAGTTTTGTCAAACATTTGAATAATGTTATGACACTATATTTATAAATATTAATTTATTTTATCAAACATGAATTCCATGACGTATATTTTTTTAGTTTTTGTAAGTATCTAAACTAAATATTATTTATTTAAAATATATATAAAAATTATTTTAACAATATTAGTTATAAATATATGATTATTAATTAATGTATATTCATGAAAAAATATACATCTTAAATACCAAATATATTATCATTTATACTTATAAAATCTTATAAGTATATATTTATTATATTAATTTTTAGTTTTGATAATTATTTAATTTAAACTTTAATCTAACTGTGCAATTACACTTGTGCAACCAAACAGTAAACTTGTAATTACACTATGACAAACAAACAGGTTATCATAATTACACAGCTGTGTAATTACTAGGCTGTGTAATTACTACCCTAGTAATTACACCAATTCCAATTACAAGGTGGCTTTTCAAACAGACTCTTATTTTTTTTTTTTTGTGTAATTCCTATTAAAGGTGATGCATTATTATGTTTATTTATTTTAATGTTGGATGCAGGGTACAAAGTAATCCTCTTCAATTCTCCTCTCGTATCCTTGATCACCATGAACACCCACGGAATAGAGACATAGGATTTGCAGCGAGTAGTATTATAATAAATATAATGGAGTTAAATATAAATAGGGACGTGTTATGAGGAAGTAACAACACGAGGTTGATTTGTTTAGTACCAACATAGCTAGTTGTATTTTGAATATTAAGAAGATTTGGTGGGCGTTTGGACATAAGAATTGTAAAATTCCAAAAGAAAAAAAAAGTGAGAATTTTTTTCAAGTAAAAATGATATTTGAAAATTAAAGTTGTGTTTGGACATTAAAATAATTTTGGATTGTTTTTGAAGTTTTGTGAGCTATTTGAGTGAAAATTTTGAAAAACAACTTTTTGGAGTTTTTCAAATTTTCGAAAAATTCCAAAATTCATTTTCAAGTGAAAATTGGAAATTTTATGGCCAAACACTGATTTCGAAAAAAAATAAAAAAAATTCAAAAAAAAAAAAAAGTGCAAAATTTCTTATGTCCAAACGAAGTTTTGGTTTAAGAAAGTTTCCTCCTGACAGTCACATCGAAGAACACTTTTCTGGCTTTATCCCTGAATAATATAAACAGATTTAAACAACTAAGTAGTACTCCATATATAAAAGCATAATTCCTATGCTAATCTAATTATCTGATTAGTATAACAAAAATAAAATAGTTTGTATTTAGTAAGATATCTAAAACTGGCCGGCCTGTAATAAAACTACATCTGACTTAATCTCTAACCCTCCCCCACACTTTACCCTACTTCTTTTTTCAAAACAGGAAAGCCCTTAAATTGTCTCATATTCCCTTGTGTCAATCAGATCGATCAAACCAAACAATATAATCATCTCCAAGATACTCTCTTTTTTAATGGAGTCTTTTCATGACCAAGACTACAATATGAATAATAACTCGTCAACTACTCATGATCAAGAAGTTGACCAGCCAAAATTAGAAAATGGAGTTGGCAGATCTTATGAGTGTGTTTTCTGCAAAAGAGGTTTCAACACTGCCCAAGCTTTAGGTGGCCATATGAATATTCATAGAAAAGACAGAATTAGAAATAGATCAATTAGTCAGAGTTCGATCATCAACTCCAACAATAAGTATGATCAAATCCAGAACCATGTTGGGGCGGCAACCCATTTAAGTTATCGGACATATTTTCCTGCTCATTCTTCTGCATCCACTACTGCTCCAGTCTTGGTACATGATAATAACAATAATCGGCAGTGCCTGAATTTGTTTGGAGACGATTGGCGTGTGAGTTTAAGCTTGGAATTTGGTGCAGCTGGGCATGTTAGAGAAACTATGGAAAAGAATAAGGGGACAGAAGATGATTTGGATTTGGAGCTTCGATTAGGCCATGATCCTTAAATTACCAAGAGTATGAAGATTAGTATAATATTGGAATTATTGTACAGCAAGGTGTACTAAGAAGTTCATGTAGTCCAACGCCAAAGTCACTATGATTATTACAAATGGTGTAAAGCAGATTCACGTTAGACTGGTAAGCGATATGAGTACTACTGCTATTTGTTATATATGTTTAATTATCTGAAAATCTACCCTACCTATATATTAGGGTTTTGTATGTTACGAATTTAGACAGTGTATTATCCATCCGCTCCTCTATTTTTCAATAAATGCGGATTCTATTTTTTGTTTTTCTTTTAAGTTCTTTCTATAAGATCCTTCATGTGCTTAATCCGTTCTTGTTTTGCCACATCAATTTTATTGTCTAATGAAGCTGTTAATATTTGAGGAAAATAACAAGGAGATTTAGTTAGTCCGACCCCTTTGTGTCCTCACGTTCAAGAATGTATTTTTTGCTACATTTGCATTAAAATACTGTAGTAATTTGTTTTATCAGTTCATCCAAATTGTCAAAACTCTTATATAGGTATATAGAGGGTATAACATCTTAAATATAAGGTACCATGTTTTAGAAGAGCATTGGAGCTAGGCATTGGGTTATCTCCATATGAAGTAGTACCACGATGAAAGTTGCGTCCTCTCTCTGCCGATATTCCTTCTTCATTTTTTCGGTTTAGAGCTTAAGTTCACTCTCTCTATATATCTTGTTGATCTTCTTACCCAAATCGATATTGAATTGGACATTTTCACAATGAGAAGAGATTAGGCATGATGTTATGTAACTTATTTTGCTCTCCCATGAAAAAGACTATATTGAAACTACTAGTGGGACTTAGCAACTCCTATATCTACTATATATAATCACCATTGAAAGGTTTATGATGAAGATCGAGAACGTACTAGCTCAATTATGATGAAGAACTGATGAAACAGAAGGTTCTAGAAAGAGAGCTTCAAAGAGAGCAAATTGAACTGAGTTATTTTCATTGATTGTGTTTGATCAATACAATGCTATACACTATTTATATATACACCAATACACTAATCAGGCTTACTCCTCCACTAACTCCCTAACAACCAATCCAATAATTAGTTACAACTAACTATACAGCTAACTACTTTAGTCACGTGACTGTCATGTGATACTACTCTCTTCAATACTCCCCCTCAAGCTAGGTGGTGCAAATAGATTGAGCACTCCTAGCTCGCTCATCAAGTACTCGTGTTGTGATCTTCCTAGTGCCTTTGTGAACAAATCTGCCTCTTGATCCTTGGACATTACATACTTTGTCTTGACAATTCCTTGTTGTATCTTCTCTCTTATGAAGTGGAGGTCTATCTCTATGTGCTTTGTACGTTCGTGAAATATGGGATTCGCAGCAATTTGAATTGCTGCTTTACTGTCACAGTGCAGCTCCACTGGTAGCTCAACTTCTGCGCCTAGTTCTTTACAAAATCCTGTCAACCATGAAATTTCTGCAACTCCTGCTGCCACGCTCCTATATTCTGCCTCTGCTGAACTCCTTGATACTGTGCATTGCTTCTTGGACTTCCATGACACTAATGAATTTCCCAATTTCATCACATAACCTGTTACGGATCTCATGGAGACTGGACATGATGCCCAATCTGCATCACAGAATGCTGTCAACTTAGTGGACTGTTCAGAGCTCATTAACAAACCTAAACCTGGAGCTCCTTTGATGTATGATCACGCTCAACTAAGTCTCACAAAAGACTATGCGGGCGTTGCAAATATAATCTGAGTATTATTGCCCAGAGTTGAACCACAGGGAACTAACCTATCAATCACTACTGTCAGATTTACTAAATTCACACAATCTGTTTTCCCAAACTTTTTGATTCACAATGGTTGATTTTCTAACAACTAAGATTGAAAGTAATTGACAGCTGAAAATTAACTAAACTTGATGTGTAAACAGTAGAAATAAAGTCTAAGGCAATGGTTTCCCCCGTTGGTACTTTCCTTGGTTGTATATGTCCTATAACTATGATTTAGCTATCTCTAACAATCATGAACTCTCCATCTATCATAATTCTTTCTCAAGTAATTATAATAATATACTAGACGCACTTTCTCAAGCTATGCTAGCTACTTGCACAATACGGTTCACTTAGATTGCACCCGGGGTTTCGTTATCTCTAATCCAACCCCTAAACCCTCGGTTATGACTCTCGTCTATACTCCGGGAGTGATGTTGTTCATACAATCACCTAAATATGCACTCTCTCTTAAGAAGATACATAATAAATAGGAACGGATAATTGAGGGCCCTTTCAACTATTCCACAATCAAAACATAGATGAACAATTAGAGATTAACAATCAAATCTAATTATATTGATAAAACAACCAAGTTATTACCAACGGGTTCCACCAAAACCTTAGATTAAGGTTTTTAGCTACTCATGACAATGGGAAAATCAAATACTAAAAGATTCATAATCATAAACTGCAAGAAAATAAAGAAGAATAGAAATAATGATATTTTGGGTGATCTCTCACACTTGTTTTTCTTGCTAAAGTACTCTCTAATAATGTTACATGCCTCATTTGGGCGAGTTCTAGTATTTAAATAGGGTTTTGGGCTAAGAATTCGGGAATTTGCACTTCAGTCCTTTAAGTTCCCATCGCCTGCCGCGGTCCTACCGCGCCCACGCTGGGACCGCGTCCAAATGGCCTCTCTGAATCTCCTTTGACAGCTCACCGCGGTCCTACCGTGCCCACGCTGGGACCGCGGCAGTTCACCTCCAGGCCTCGTTTGTGTATTCCAAATGGTTCACTCGACGACTTTGATGCGATTGGCTTCTTTCTCTTCCATAAATGATACAAAACCACTCCATAGCCTTCTTCTAATGTATGTAACCTGAAAATCATGAAAAGCACTAATAAGAGCATTTTGCTATCACTTTTACAATAAAAACTCTACAAGAAAGTGGTTCTTTTGGGGCTTAATCATAGTTCAATTCACCTATTATCAACAGCCCACACTTAAAACTTTGCTCGAGAACTTTGCTCGTCCTCGAGCAATTTAAACCACACTTCTAGGCCGAATCGCTCAACGAGTTACCCAATTTTATGTCACACCCGTCATTATGAAAGAACAACCTAAGCAGTGCAACTGTCACACCTCAGATGCAGACTCTAATGCCATACCACACACATGCTCACTCTAGTTACTCTACAGAGGTGAAAACTTGCTGTTTCTTCCCGAGTCACATGCCCTCACATCAATAAATTGAGAGAAGTTCCACACATATAGAATCAAGCACAACGAACTTTAGATAGAAAGAATTCACTCACTCTCAGCAAAGAACATTCATATGCCACACAGATACACCATAAGCTTACCCTTAGTGTAATACTCTACTAATCGAGTTGTTTTAGTCTAAGATCAAGAGGTCTTTATTTGGTTGTAATGTAGGCTAAGGGACGGGTAGGATATATTTGGATATAGTGACTAACCTCCCTAAGCACTTTTAATACATTCTTCCTTTATTTCGATTTCCATGTTCGGCCCAGTCATCCTTCCACACTTGTTTCATAAGCTACCCCCGTTTTCTAGGTGCAACTGGCTTTTCTTGCCATTCACTACTTTAGGACCACCTATTTGCAAGGTCCTTCTTCTATATTTCAATATATACATTTTTTTTAAAACTACTATTGCACCATTCAAGTATTTTCCTTATTCCCTTTTTCTACTCCCTTATCACCCCAACACTTTGACTTTTACATGAGCTTTAACAATTCAAGTGCTTCTAGGAGGCAAAGGGTCAAACAGTCAAGCTATTCAACACATGGATGTAGGTTATTACAAGGTTATCAAAGAAACAAGCTTTAGGCTCAAAGGGGTTAACTATGGTGATATGTACAGGTGGATTCGTAATTAGACCGGCTACAGAAAGAAATGCCTCAATCATCTCTAAGACCAAACAACTTCTATTTCGCTTTGCAAACACACTGGGCAAGTTCTAGGTATCGCATGCAAGCACAGAATACAGGTATTTCCTCACACACACTTGGCATGAAACTCATTCCAAATTAGTTTGTCAACACACTCACATGAGTGTTCAAGCAAGACAAGGCATGCACAATTAAGACATAATTTACGAGTCTACAAACGAGCCTAGACGTCGCACTCTCAAGTTCGTTTAGTTGTTAGCATGTGTATACATCAAAAGGGTGGATTCCTGCCCTTACCCCTCCTAATCTAAGAGAGTCTTCAGAGTCCTACAAAAAATCTACCTAACACGGTGCAAGAAAAAACCCTTGGAAAAGAACCGTGGTCAAAAGAAAAACCAAGGGGGAATTACTACATTACCTAAAAAGAGAAAAGAAAAAAAAATGTCTACATGGACTACTTCCCTCAAGAGTATTGTCCAAGTGGTCCGTCCTCAGGAAGAGTCCTTTATCCCTTAACAATCGACTTTGACCCTCAAGAGAACCGTCGACAAGTGTCCGTCATTGGGCCAAGTCAGTTATAAAATTACAACATGTTTAATGTGTAAAATACAACACATCACAACAACAAGTCTCCCACCCCACACTTATAATCATGGCATGTCCCCATGTCATACAAAAATAAAGAGCAGTAGGGTAAGAAGACTTCCCTGAGTATCACTCGGAGTCGGAGACCGTGCTGGGGTCCACATGACAAGCTCGTCCCAATGCACGGAACCAAGCCATCATACGGTTCTCAGACCTGGCATGGCGCTGAGACTTAGCATCCATCCTCACATGCAGGCCATCCACCGAGGTACGAAGGTCCACGAGCTCCTCCTCCACTGAACGTAGCATAGGCCGGGTGGATTGTGATCTAGAGAGTCCGGCTCCAGTGTGGGAATGCCGGGAAGATCCAGCTCCGTCATATGACCTCCTGGAGGGTGCCATTGGTGCTTGGGCTTCCTCCTCATCATCAATATCTATGGTCGCGGGCGCATCTCTGCCCACGTTGATCCTAGAAGTTCTGAAGGGTATCCTTGCGGGCAATGTGCCATCAGTAGGCAGAGTGGGAACGCCCTTGAGCAGACACAATCTAGTCACCAATGAGGGAAAATAAAACCCCTTAGACTGCAACGAGGATCGGAGGATCATTTCATCACCAATGAGCCGCGCCGCATCAAAGTCACGCTTTGTGACAAAGCACCATACCAGTAGAGCCCTTAGGTGGTTGACATCGGTAGAGTTGCTTGTGGGCAGGAAGCGGCTGCAAATGATATTGAACCAGCACTTGGCCTCGTGAGTGAAGGACTTGGAGTGGAGGGT